GATGCACGATCGCTCGGTCATTGTGTTCATAGATGACATCTTGGTATATTCCAAGACCCGAAGAGCATGAGGAGCATCTTAGGGAGCTGCTGCAGGTACTGCGACGAGAACGGCTGTATGCCAAGTTCTCGAAGTGTGAGTTTTGGTTACGAGAGGTTCATTTCCTCGGACATCTCGTTAACCAGGATGGGATTTTGGTCGATCCGGCCAAGGTGGAGGCGGTTATGCAGTGGGAGACTCCGAGATCTCCCTCAGACATCAGGAGTTTCTTGGGTTTAGCAGGGTATTATCGGAGATTCATTCGTGATTTCTCCAAGGTTTCCGTACCCCTCACTCGTCTAACGAGGAAGGGAGTGGATTTCCGGTGGGGCCCTGAGCAGCAGAGGGCGTTTGAGACCCTCCGGCAGCGGTTATGCGAGGCGCCAGTGTTGACACTCCCCGAGGGAGTGGAGGATTTCGTGGTATTTTGTGATGCGTCCATCACAGGCTTAGGGGCAGTCCTCATGCAGAGGGGACGAGTGATAGCTTATGCATCGCGGCAGTTAAAGCCGCATGAGACGAGATACCCCACACACGATCTTGAGTTGGGAGCGGTGGTCTTCGCTCTCAAGATTTGGAGGCACTATCTGTACGGGGTCCGTTGTACCATATACACGGATCACAAGAGTTTGAGGCACATTATGGATCAGCCAAACCTGAATATGAGGCAGCGCAAGTGGCTGGATGTAGTCAAGGACTATGATTGTGAGATCCTTTACCATCCTGGTAAAGCAAACGTGGTTGCGGATGCTCTGAGCCGCAAGTCAGCTGGGTCCTCGACCCCAGCCATGTGTATGAGGATAGCGGTGGATTCCCCGTTGGTGGGTCTGGTCAGGGATGCTCAGATTGAGGGTATGAGACCAGAGAACTGGAAGTTGGAGAAGATTAAGGGCGAAAACGCCCGTTTTGTTCAGGATAGCTGCAGATTGTTGACCCGTTACGGTCGGGTTTGGGTTCCGATGACCAGAGGGGTCCGGCAGACAGTGATGGAGGAGGCTCATAAGTCTCGCTTCTTGATTCATCCGGGAACCACCAAGATGTACCGTGATCTGAGTTCGAGTTGTTGGTGGCCGGGCATGAAGCGAGATATCCCTTGGTTTGTTGAGAGGTGCTTGACCTGTAGGATGGTCAAGGCCGAGCACCAGAGGCCGCATGGTAAGCTGCAGCCCCTGGAGATTCCCATGTGGAAATGGGAACGGATCACGATGGATTTCATCACGAAGTTGCCAAAGACGGCAATGGGTTTCGATGCTATATGGGTCATCGTGGATCGATTGACCAAGAGTGCCCATTTCCTAGCTATACGGGAGAGTTCGTCGGCAGAGAAGTTGGCCGACCTGTACGTCCGCGAGATTGTCTCTCGCCATGGGGTTCCAGTTTCCATAGTTTCCGACCGGGATGTCCGATTTACTTCCCGTTTTTGGCAGAAGTTCCACGAGGAACTAGGTACGAGGTTGCATTTTAGTACATCGTTCCATCCGCAGACTAATGGGCAGAGTGAGCGGACCATACAGACCCTCGAGGATATGTTGAAAGGCGTGCGTCATTGATTTCGGTGGGAGTTGGGATTCCCACCTACCGCTTGTAGAGTTCGCCTACAACAACAGCTATCATTCCAGTATTGGCGCCCCGCCTTTCGAGCTGTTGTATGGGCGGAAGTGTAGGACCCCAGTCTGCTGGGGCGAGGTTGGGCACAGAGTGATGGGTCGGACAGAGGTAGTTCTGCAAACTACCGAGATGATACAGCAGATTAGACAGCGACTGCAGACCGGTCAGAGTCGGCAGAAAAGTTATGCCGACCGACGCCGATCTGAGCTGGAGTTTCAGGTGGGTGACATGGTTCTCCTGAAGGTTTCACCCTGGAAGGGAGTGATCCGCTTCAGGAAGAGGGGAAAATTAGGTCCCCGCTACATCGGGCCGTTCAGGATTATTGCCAGGGTTGGCAGGGTGGCTTATAGGCTAGAGCTTCCAGAGGAGCTTAGCCGGATCCACAGCACATTTCATGTTTCGCAATTACGAAAGTGCATTATGGACCAGGAGGCAGTGGTATCGTTGGATGACATTCAGGTCGACGAACGCCTGAACTATGTGGAGAGGCCGGTGGCTATTTTGGAAAGGAAGAAGAAGATTCTGCGGAACAAGGAAATACCTTTGGTAAAGGTACAGTGGGAATATCGGAGGGGATCCGAGTGGACATGGGAGCCGGAAGCGGAGATGCGCGAGCATTACCCGGCATTGTTTATTCCGACGGACTTCGAGGGCGAAGTCTAGTTCAAGTGGGGGAGAGTTGTAACGCCTCGATTCTCAGGTATTGTTTAAATAAGATTTATTGGGTGAAGCTCTACTCGACGAGTTGGTTGACCTACTCGTCGAGTAGCAGCGGGGTGGGATCGCGTGTTAAGTGACCCACTCGACGAGTCCATATTGGGACTCGGCGAGCTGGCAGATGAAACCCTAAATCCCGGGGTTTTGCACCCTATTTAAGGAAGCATAAGCCTCATTTGGCCTCTGTGCAGTCCTTTGAGAGCTCAGAGAACCCTAATTCGCGTGGTGTTTCATTCTTGTGTGTGTAAAGCTTTGGAGAAGAGATCTTGTGAGGAAAGGAGCTTGGGGAAAACAAAAGGGCTAGGAGCAAGGAAGTGTGGGAGATCAGAAATCTACCTCAAATAGCATCATTTGGAGGTATCAAGTCGTCATCTTTTCTCCTTTTCCTTTCTAGACCTCTTTTGGTTGAGATCTAGGGTTTTTATGGTTTGGTTGAGATGGTAATGTGGGATATGAGCTAGATCTGAAGTTGTAACTTCAGATCTGTAACCTTCTTGGGTTCTAGAGTCATAAAGCTCTGATTTTGGTCGAGAATGAGGCCCTCCTTATGCATAAAGCCCCATTAAGAACTTAGTTTTGGCATTAAGAGCCTTATTAGTCATGCATGCACGTAAAGTTTGCAACTTTACGTGAAAAGCATGCCCTAGAAGCTTGGATCTGTGATTTGGAGCCGCTGCATGGCTCAAAACAAGTCTGTATGAAAAAATGACTAAATGGACTCGGCGAGTCGCAAGGTTGACTCGGCGAGTCACATGAAGATGGCCGTGGCAAGGAGGAAACTCGACGGGTGGCCTTAGAGTTTGAACGGGAATCGAAGGAACTCGACGAGTCACCCCGATGACTCGGCGAGTGGAATGTGCTTCGAGGAACTCGACGAGTAGCCAAGGGTACTCGGCGAGTTGGGGGTCAACATGGACTGTTGACCTTGACTGAGGACTTTAACCTTGACCAGGGGTTGACTCGTGGGTTATGGAGTACCTTATAGATTTAAAGACTTATGAGTAAATTGTACTATGGTCATAGGTGGTGGAGCCTGTGTCAAGTGATCCGAGAATTGGAGTTTACCTTTCGAGTCGGCATCTGCGAGGTGAGTTATCCTCACTATATCGATAGGGTCTACGGCACCAAGGCCGACCCTTTTAGTTGTTATTGTTATGGTATGCTAAATATGGTTTGGTCTGCTAGATCGGAATCAGGGTAGACAGTATGTTATACTTTATGATCCGTAACGATTGGTATGTTAGTGACCTGCTAGGTCGGTACTCTAGTTACGAGAGGATTCTATGGTTGATGATCAGTATGACAGATATGTTTGATGTTTGTATATGCCAGTATATGATAGTTATGCGAACTTGGTTATTTGCTTATTGGTTGGGTTAAGGCGGTCCTGCTTTGTGCTGAAGGCCAACATACCCTATGAGCGGTCCGGGGAGACTGCAGGCCCACGAGGCGGACCAGTCATGCCGAAGGCTCGGGATAGATTCTGATAGACTGTAGGCCTAGTAGGGCGGTCCAGTCAGGCCGATGGCCCAGTATGCATGAATAGATTCAGATAGACTGTAGGCCCGGTAGGGCGGACCAGTCAGGCCGATGGCCCAGTATGCATGATTGATTGATTGATTGTTACTGATATGGTATTGTCACTGTGATATTGGTATTTTGGGGGTAGCTCACTAAGCCCTCGGGCTTACAGTTTTCAGTTTATTGTTTCAGGTACTTCAGGAGATCGTGGCAAGGCGAAGGCGTGACCGTACCGCTCCTCATCCTTATGTTGTGATTTTGGGACAATCTGATGGATATTGATTTGAAAACATTTTGTAAACAATACTATTTGACTTTCATTTGTGATTTAAAAAGTTTGAATTTTGCGTGAAATTTTTGGACGTTACATTTTGTGTTAAACTTTGGATGTTTTTTTTTTTTTTTTTTTTTTTTTTTTTTTTTTTTTTTTTTGGAAATTTGAATGTATATATGGGTAGTATTATATTATACCTATAAATTTGAATGTATTGGTTTTATATATATTCTTGTGTTAACTATGGAAATTAATATAACTATTTCTTTTTCAAAACCGATCAATCCATATCGTTGCCTATAAAAATAAATTACTTCTACCATATGACGTCAATATATGTATTTAACTATTCATTTAAGAAAATGTTTATAAAGAATGAAGCATGCGACGAGATGTCGTTGTATAGGTCAATCTGTAACGATGAATTAGCAACAGGCGGCAAAGGCAGCGACGTCGAACCAACTGCAAAAAAGGAAATGAGATATAAAAAAAATCACGAAACAAATTTTACACAAAACCGAACCAAACAAAATCAGAAGTATGATTAATTCAAGGGTTAATTTGGACTTAAAGTCCCAACTGCAAACCGAAGTAAAAATGTTAGAATAATTAGGGAAGAGTAAACCAAAGATACATAATCTCTTCCTTTTGCTTAACGATAAAGATCAATGCGGAAGACACATTCGGTAAGCTCAGCAAATATGGTTGGCCTTCTGTAGCTCTCACATTCCATAAATCTTTCCATAAACACAAACTTTAACTTCAAAGCTTTCATTTACCATCTACTCACTTCTCCTTCAACTAATCACTCTCTATATATACGCATGTTTGTATGTACATCTCCATCCACCTTCACCTTTCCCTTCTAATTCATCGGAAAACACACCACTTCCCGCCTCACAACAGAAAAAATGGTATCCCATGGTTGTTCGAGCTTCATTTCCGGCGGCCTGTTTCTTTTTCTTTTTGGATTTGTGTCGTTGGTTCTTCACGCACAAGCTGCCACCAAGAAGTATCAGTTTGATGTGAGTTCATTAGCTTTAGAAACACGAGATAAATGAGTTGATATATGGTTATTGTAAGATGACCCTTTTTGTTTTTATTCATCATGAACAGGTACAAGTGACTAACGTGAGCCGATTGTGCCATGCAAAACCAATAGTGACAGTAAACGGAAGATTTCCAGGTCCTACCATTTACGCTCGAGAAGGCGATAGAGTTGTCATCAACGTCTCAAATCATGCACAATATAACATGTCCATTCACTGGTATGTATCTTTATCAATCCATGATTATTCCCCTTATAACCACTAGTTTAAATGTCTGGCTTCATGACGTTTTTTGTTTGTATTTAATTTATGGGTTCTTAGGCATGGGTTGAAACAATATGCGAACGGGTGGGCAGACGGACCAGCATACATAACACAGTGCCCAATCCAAACAGGAAGTAGCTATGTCTACGACTTCAATGTCACCGGACAAAGAGGGACATTGTGGTGGCATGCTCATATTCTTTGGCTCCGAGCTACTGTTTATGGTGCCATTGTCATTTTACCCCAACAAGGAACTCCATATCCGTTCCCTAAGCCCGATGGTGAACAAGTCTTGGTGTTTGGTAAGTGGTAACCCTCAAATAATGAATGAAAATACTCAAAACGTATAATTTTGGTTTTTTATACTAAAATCTTCGTATATCATGACTTGATAATGCAGGAGAATGGTGGCATGGTGATGTTGAAGATATTGTAAAGCAAGGGAATGCAATGGGTTTGCCTCCTAACATGTCTGATGCTCACACCATCAATGGAAAACCTGGCCCACTCTTTCCATGCTCAGAAAAACGTAAAGACTCATTAATGCATGCATTGCATTTGCCCATTTGCCCTGTATATTTTGTTATTAATTAAGATTGGTTTCGTGTTTGATATTCAGATACGTTTGCCATGGAAGTCGAGCAAGGTAAGAAGTACCTTCTGAGGATCGCAAACGCTGCCCTAAACGACGAGCTTTTCTTTGCCGTTTCAGGCCACAACATGACGGTGGTTGAGATTGACGCTGTGTACACAAAACCCTTCACAACCGCCGTTATACTAATAGCTCCGGGTCAAACCACTAACGTTTTGGTCTACGCCAACAGTGCTCCGGGAAGGTATTTCATGGCGGTCCGCCCATTCCAAGACGTTCCTATTCCGGTCGACAACAAAACAGCCACCGCAATCCTCCAGTACAAAGGCATTCCCAATACCGTTCTACCATCACTCCCTCAATTGCCATTGCCAAATGACACTGCGTTTGCACTAACCTATAACGAAAAGCTCCGGAGCCTCAACACTCGTAATTTTCCGGCGAATGTTCCTTTAAAAGTTGACCGGAATCTGTTTGTGACTATTGGGTTAGGAAAAAGTGTGTGTCCAACTTGCGTTAATGGAACCCGACTTTCTGCTTCACTTAACAACATTACGTTTGTGATGCCACAAACTGGACTCCTTCAAGCTCACTACTCGAAGATAAAAGGGGTGTTTACTTCTGATTTCCCCGATAAGCCACCTAAAGCTTTTAACTACACCGGTGCACCTTTGACTGCTAATCTTTTCACTTCTCATGGAACAAGACTCAGCAAAATTGCCTTCAATTCTACTGTTGAACTTGTGATCCAAGACACCAATTTACTAAGCGTTGAGTCCCATCCGTTTCATCTTCATGGATACAACTTCTTTGTGGTTGGAACAGGGACTGGGAATTTTGATCCGGCTAAGGATCCGGCGAAGTATAACTTGGTGGATCCACCAGAAAGGAACACCGTCGGTGTTCCTACCGGCGGCTGGTCTGCCATTCGTTTCAGAGCTGATAATCCAGGTGTTTGGTTTTTTCACTGTCATTTGGAGTTGCATACCGGATGGGGATTGAAGACGGCGTTTGTGGTGGAAGATGGAACCGGAAAAGACCAGGCTGTCCGTCCTCCGCCAAAGGATCTTCCGTCTTGCTGACTATACTTACCCATTCATGATTTCTCTCGGAAATAATTGTAAATTTGCAAGTGTTAAATCATCTTAATTAAAAATTGTATGTTTCATTAAATTTATTTTTTTATTATATATTATATTAAGGGAAAATGACTCACAAGCCGAAAGAATTTTCCAATCCATTCAAAAAACCCTAATAATCTATTTTCTGGTCAAGATAACCCAATCAACTTAACCTTTTGTCTAAAAAAAGTCCAACAAAGTTACACTTTTGTTAAATTCTATCGAAGTCAAATAAGAGAAACATATGAAGTGACTTATTAACATATCGGAAAAATGATTTGTAAAACCAACGAAGTTTCCAAACCGTTCAAAAAACCTCAATCATGTTTTGTCTTTTTGAAAAACCTTATGAATATACAAAACATGATTGTAGTTTTTTGAACGGTGTGAAAATTTCGTTGGGTTTTTTAGATAAAAAGTTAAGTTTGTTGGATTTTCTTGAACAAACAAAACATGATTGATGTTTTTTGAACAGTTTGAAAACTTCGTTGCGCTTGTAAGTCATTTTCCCTTATATTAACAATTATTATCTGTCAATCGCCACGCCTTATAAGGATTTTAATGAGTTTATGACTAGGGGCGGATTTAGGGGTGGTCCAGGGTGGCACCGGCAACCCCTAACTTTTCCGGTCGCAGTGAAAAATTTTTCGAATTTTTTTTTCTACTATCGTGCAACCCCTGACTTCCCGTGCAACCCCTACTGTTAAATACCGCGTTCGCCCCTGTTTATGACTAGCACAAATCGACAATCATTACCATAATCACACAAAGCACGATGAGGAATTCAGATGACGATTAATTTGTTTATAGTATTTGTAACATCCCGACTCTCAGGTATAAATTTTAAAGCTTTATATTTATGTTTTTAGACCTACTCGACGAGTTGGATGCCCAACTCGTCGTGTAGAGAAGGTTAAAGCCGCGTGGATTCTAGAACCTACTCGACGAGTTGAAGGACCCCAACTCGACGAGTAGAGGTTGTGCATGAAAACCCTAATTTTTAGGGTTTGCACCCTATTTAAAGGACCTTAAGTCCTCATTCCAGCCTCATTACCACCTTTTGACGTCCATAAGCAAACCCTAATCGATCTAACCCTTATTTTGAGTGTGTGCGTGAGGCTAAAAGCACTACATCATTAACACCCTATGGCGACGACACCTATGCCAACGACGGATGTCGTCGCTACAAGCCTATCTATGCCGACGACAAGTCGTCGCCACACCATTTGGCAACATTGACCAAAATCCTTTGACCATGATACATGTGCCGACGACATGTCGTCGCTACAAGTCTGGCGGGAACGACCAAAGTCTTCGCGGTATACTGAAAACTTATGGCGACGACATGTCGTCGGTATAGGTATCGAAAAATCTAATTTCGAATTATTTATATTCCATTGTCCAGTAAACCAAAACGACGTAGTTTTACGGAATCTATACCGATGACATGTCGTCGGTAAGACACGTGGCGATCCGCGTGAAAACCCTGTACCGACGACATGTAGTCGCCACATGTTTTTCATTTATTATTACTTTTTTGTTTACGCAAATAATGAAACGGCACCGTTTATCGCAACCCTATACCGACGACATGTTGTCGGCATAGGGGTTCACCCTAGCAAACCGCAGCCTGTCTTTCATTTGCACAAATCGACGCAGGAAGAAATTCTCTCTTCCCCGCCGACGAAAATCGAATTAAGGCTTACAAATTCCGGCGATTAGCACCAGGTAACATCTTTTTGCTCCTATTTCTTTCTTTGTTGCTGTGTGGTCATCTTTTTTACCCTAATTGGGAGTTTTTTTTTGCTGTTCATGGGTTTTGGTTAACCACCGTCGCCCTTCCACCATCTTCAGCCGTCTCGCCGACGAGTCTTCCTCACCGACGAGTCCAGCTGCTCTCCTTCACTGCTACATCATGTAAGTTTTGTAGTTTTGTTGCTGTTATCATTTTTTTCTCCTGATTTGAGTTGTTTCCTTTGACCACCAGCCATACCCATCATATTTCAACATTGGAATTGGCCATCACAGCAAGACGAACAGGTTAGTTTTTTTGACCTATGTATATATTTGACAATTAGTTTTTTTTATTTCTAATTTGACAATTAGTTTTTTTATTTCTAATTTTTATTGAAATTGAAATTGCATATATATATATATATATATATATATATATATATATATATATATATATATATATATATATAAAAGTTTATATGAAATTGGATTGTATTGTTTGTTTGGTATGTGATTGGTATGATTATGGTATTGTATTGTTGGTTTGGTATGTATTTGATTATGTTGTTTGTTTGGTATGATTGTATGATTGTATTGTTTGTTTAGTATATATATGTTTGTTTGTTTAGGTTTATGTGAAATTGAAGTTGTATATATATGTATAAAATGTTAATTTAGTTGGTTAATGTTGTATGAAATTAAGATTGTGTTTAAAATATTATATGAAATTGAAATTTGTTTAGGTATATATGAAATTGAAATTGTATGTATAGAATGTTAATTAACTTGTTTAGGTTTATAAGAAATCAAATATTTTGTATGATTGTGAAATATGTATGATTGTGATCTTTGTTTAGGTTGGTATCAAATTTTATGTATAAAATGCAAAATATGTATGGTTGTGTTATTTGTTTAGTTTATTAGCTTAAGTGAATGAAGTGATCAAGTGTTTAATTTTTAAGTTAAAATGTTTGTCATTAAGAACAAACGTTACTAATAGCAACATAAAACAAAATATAAAAATATTTAAACTAATAAAAGTACGTTTATTGAGAATAAAGTTTATTAAGTAAAAAATAGAATGCTTTAAACAAACTAATAAAAGTTTCTTAAGTAAAAAATATGTAAACTACAAAGGTTATTAATAGCAACATACTTTGTTATTAAAAGTATGGTGCTATAAAAAAACAAAAGAGAAGTGAAAAATAGAATGCTTTAAACAAAAAGTGTTGCGCTACTTTCCTTTGACTCCAAGACTTCGACGGATGTATAGTTCCAGATTCACAGCTAAAAATATGATTTGGCATAATACTGGAAGATCAACGGATGGTATGATGTATCATCCGGTAGATGGGAAGTCATGGAAAGAATTTGATAAGAGATACCCAGAGTTTGCCAAAGAACCTAGAAATGTTTGTCTAGGTTTAGCTGCTGATGGCTTTAATCCATTCGGCAACTTTAATAACAATTATAGTATTCGGCCGGTTATATTGACTACCTATAATACACCACCATGGATATGTATGAAAGAGTCTTCTTTCATGCTAACTTTGCTGATTCATGGCCCTAGATCACCCGCAAAGGACATTGATGTTTACTTGAGGCCTTTGGTGGATGAGTTGAAAATGTTGTGGGCCGAAGGAGTCCAAACGAGAGATGCATCAACCAATACTGTATTCAATATGCGTGCGATGTTGTTATGGACTATCAATGATTTCCCAGCACGTAGCAGTCTGTCTGGATGGAGTGGTCAAGGTTATTTAGCATGCCCTACTTGTAAAGAAGACACATCTTTCATTTATGTGACCAACAAGATGTCTTATGTTGGTCATAGACGATTCTTGAATACAAACCATAGTTGGAGGGAGAGTCTATTGTTTGATGGTCAACCTGAGACAAGACCGCGTCCTAGACGATTCAGTAATGCAACTATATTAAAGCAAGTAAATTGTCTCTCTGATCGAATTCTAGGGAAACATCCTGATTATGGGGGCAAAAAAAGAAAGCGCGACGATGAAAGAAAAAAAAAGAGAGTTAAATTGGACGAAACGAAGTATCTTCTTTGAGCTTGAGTATTGGTCTTCCCTCGACCTAAAACACAATTTCGATGTTATGCATGTTTCAAAGAATGTGAATGAGAGTGTCTTGAATACTGCACTGATGAACGACAAAAGCAAAGACAAAAAAGAAGCAAGAATTGACTTGATAAATATGGGCATTAGACCAGATCAATGGCCAAAGGAGAAAGTCAAGAAGATGAAGAAACACAACAAGGAAAAAGACAAGAAGAAAGAAATACTCCCACATGCTTCTTACTCTTTCAAACCAATTGATCAACAACGTTTCTGTCAATTCATTAAAGGAGTGAGACTACCTGATGGTTTTAGATCGAACTTTAACAAAAAGGTTAATGATATTGAATCAAATTTGGTTGGGCTGAAGTCTCACGATCATCACGTCCTCATGCAACGATTACTACCTATAGGGGTTCGAGCATGTCTCCCACCAAATGTTTCAAGAAAAATCATTGACCTGTGTACATTCTTTAAAAAAATTTGTGCACGGTCATTGGATGTTAACGACATGAGAAATGGCAGAACAGAAGTGGTGAAGATCTTATGCAATCTTGAGTTGATATATCCTCCATTATTTTTCGACATAATGATTCATCTTATTCTTCATTTACCCAATGAAGCCATTCTTGGAGGGCCTGTACACATGAGATGGATGTATCCTTTTGAAAGATATATGAAAAAACTTAAAAATTATGTCAGAAACAAAGCCAAACCAGAAGGTTCAATAGCAGAGGGTTAACTACATTTTCCATAGTGTTATAATATATTTTAACTATTCTAATTATTTTGTCCCATATTCAGTGAATTCAAATCAGAATTGCCTGAAAGTGATTTCAAAATGGAATTTCCTTCATGGTTCAAAGAAAATGTAAGTATGTTATATATTTATAATGTAAAACTAATTTATTACTTAAACATACAATCTTATATTTCGTTACAGATTTATCGTCTCCAAAAAGATATGCCTTCGGACTGTACTGATGAATTAAAGGTGTTGGCATATGGTCTGTTGCGTGCATATTCTTACACTGCGTGCATAGTAAATGGTGCTCGATTTGTCGTGAATATCCGTAATCTCCAACGTACTACTCAAAATAGTGGTGTTGTTACATTCGGAGAAGACGGTACACCATTCTATGGTCAATTAGAGGAGATTATAGAGTTGCATTATTTATATGATAAATCAGTTGTACTATAAATCATTCGTGGTAAATGGTTCAATGCATCATTACGTAATGGACGTTTACAAACTATAAATAATATGGTTCTTATCGATACCAGTCATGAATGGTATGTCGGTAAAACGTGGTATGATGATCAACAATACATCTTAGCCACACAAGCAAAACAAGTATTTTATCTCCAAGATCCTACTAAAAACGATAATTGGAGAGTTGTGGAAGAGGTTCATCATCGGAAACTTTGGAATCATCCAAGTATCGGTGTTGTGAATGAGATAGATGTCGTGAATGACACTCAATCAACTGATTTTACCTTGGTTGTCGACTTAGGCACCTTGCCTATGCAGACGACTTGAGGTGAAGTTGGTGAATCAAGTGTGGTTGCTAGGAGGAATGTTGATCCTACTATAAACGATGACAATTTCATTAATGATGACAATGACGATGGTGATACGTACTCTTCAGATGAAGAAATAAATAATGAAAAATATGACAGTGATGATGATGTTGTACATGTATATTGTTCTAGTGATGAATCTGATTGATGGTATGTCGTAGTTATTATATATACTGATTGCTTATAATATTTGTTAAATTTTCAAATGTTGCTTATTTATAATTAGCTTTATTATATACTTTGAATGTTTATAATATTTGTTAAACAGATGGCAGAAGTCGCGAGGGGACATGGAGGAGACGGTGGGGATAGACCACCACACGGGGTCGCACGCGGTGTACCATCGGGTTGCCAATCTTGTAAGTTACATGAAATTTTTAAGTATTAGATATATTAAAGTTTTAAATTTCTAAATTTTCAATTCTATATGTAAATGTAGCACAAGCGAAGAATGTGAATGTGAATAAGCGTGGCAAAGGGAGAAACTTAAATTTGTATGATGAGTATGAAAACGACAAGCGTAAGCCTTTGGATTTGCGAATTGATATCTCCGGGCGGACGTACCGATTTGTGGGGGACAACGGGCAAATGTTTGTCAGACTGATCTCAAATCTGGTGGGATCACAAGTACCGTTGCATTATCATACTTGACATCGTGTTCCTATCAAGTACAAAGATGATTTATATCCCGAGCTAGAAGTAAGTATACAATATATTTTATATGTATTGAATTTTACACTTATTAAATATTTTTTTACTAATCAAATATGTTTTTCCTTTTGCAGACTTATTTTGATCTAAATAGGTACCGGGGCACAGACTTGTGGGAACCCCTTCGAGCGGGTATCCAAGCAAACATGCAAAGAGCTTATCGAGACTGCAAGCATGACATGAAAAAACATTTTGATAGAGTTGGTGGATATCATAATGTGGAAAGGGCAAGAAGATGTCCACTGACTGATTGGTCCGCCGAAGCTTGGAACAAAATGATTGATTTGTTATTTTTGACTGATGAATACAAACGCACGTCGGCCAAAAATAAAATTTGTAGGTCGAAACTTCCGCACACAAGTGCTCACGGATGTAGATCCTATGCTCAACGACGTTATTTAGAGGTAATAAAATATATTAGTATTAGTTAAAAGTGTTATTAACATTTATATAAATATATTTATTGATTTTTCACTTATTATAGGATAAAATGGGACTCAAGCCGCAACATGTTGAGGGTTGGAGACAAATGCGCTACAAAGAAGGTTCGTGTTGGTGTATAAGTCGAGCACAAGAAGATTGGGTAAGTGATAAACAAAATGAATGTGTTATTTACATATATTATTATTATTAATTATAGTTTTTTGTTTAAGGGATATTATTATTATTTTAATGTTTAAGTTTAGTTGTTTGTTTTAATTAACGTATGTTTGTTGTTTTCTTTATTTTAGGAGAAAGTTCAAGAAGAATATGAGAAAATGCAAAGCGAGGTTGGGTAAGGCGGAATAGTAGACGAGGAAGAATGTTTAGAACGTGCCCTTGGGACGAGACGCGGGCATGCTCGCGGGGTGGGTAGGAGACCAACCGCCAACTTCGGTTTAATTCCAAATGAACGACCTTCCACTTCAAAATCGTCCCAATGTCAACCCCAATCTCAATCCCAATTTGATGCACAACAAATGCAAGAATACTTGCAACAATATAATGCATCATTAGCGACATGTATTTCGGGCTTCCAACCACCACCATTTCCTAACTTTCTATTCAACTATAACACACAAGCAAGTACCTCTCAACAAGTTGCCGAAAGGATGGAAGAAGAAGGAGAAGAAGAAGGAGAAGAAGAAGGAGAAGAAGGAGAAGAAGAAGGAGAAGAAGAAGGATATGATTATGATAATGATGGTTGATGTTTTTTTAGTGTTTTGAACAATGTTAGCTAACTACTTGAATTTGAACTTGAATTTGATGTTTTGAATTTGAACAATGGTACCTAGTTAATGTATTTCAATTGATATATGTTGCAATGTGTTTTGGATTTGTTAAAAATGCAGGAATGGTAATGTATTAAATCTGTAAAACAGGGGAAAAAAACAACCAATAGCTATCCCGACGACATGTCGTCGCTATAGGTATGTCATTGACTCCTGTGAAAAACCTATACCGACAACTAGTCGTCGTAATAGATTACACCTGTTGCGACGACAGGTCGTCGCTATAAGTTTGCCGACGACAAGTCGTCGCGATAGGTAATTAATAAAACTTTATTTTTTCCCCCGAAAATATGATTGACGAAATCTGTCCCGACGAACTGTCGTCGGCATAGGCGAAGCTATCGCGACGATATCTATACCGACGACACTATTGACCTATGCCGACACGACTATCCCGACGACTCTATACCGACGCCAAGTCGTCGTAATACCATAGACCGACGACATGTGATTGGTATAGGGTCCGAATTTGTCGTCGCCATAGGGTGTTAATGTTGTAGTGAAGTGTGTTTTTGGTGCATTTGTCGAAGAAACTTGAAGGTTGAGAAGCTTGGAACGAGAAGGAGCTTGTAGATCCAACATCTACATCGTTTTGGCTTTCATTTGAAGGTAAAAAGTCATTACATTGACTTCTCATTACTTAGATCTTCCCTTGTGAAAGAAAATGGTCATAAAATGGAGTCACTTTCGGATTTGAGCTTGTCACAAGGGCATGGTTTCAGATCTAGACTCCTGTAGGCCCTTATGGAGATAAAGCCTCAAGCTTTATGATGCTTTGGCCATCCTCCATGTCAAAAACATCATTATAAGGCTAGTTTTAATGTTTTACTTCCTTTGAGGCCTTGCATGCACGTAAAGTTAGCAACATTACGTGGTATCTCAGTTTCATGAAGTTAGATCTGTAGTTTGGGGCTTTGGAATCGATTGGAAAGAGCTGAACACATTAAGATAGGAAGAACTCGACGAGTTGCATTGTCAACTCGACGAGCTGGATGAGGGTTTCCCGCTTTATGGATTCTGCATGAACTTGACGAGTTAGTGAGATAACTCGATGAGTTGGTTAGGGTTTTCCCGACATTCTGGACACCGCATGGACTCGACGAGTTGTCTGGAAACCCGACGATTCGACTGGGGTTTTCGCGATTTCTTGAGTTCTGAAGGAACTCGACGAGTTAGTAAGCTACACTCGACGAGTTGGGTCAACATGGACTGTTGACCTTGACCAAGGGTTGACCGAGTTTGACTTTTGAGGGTATTTTGGTAATTTGGGAATTTATGGAATCGGATAAATGATGGTTGCAGGTGTTGGTGTTCGGAGCCGTGTTTTGGGAGTTTGACCTTTTGCAGTACAGTTCGACATTGTGAGGTGAGTTTTGCTCACTATGCTCAAGGGTCTAAGGCACCAAGACCAACCCTTTGGATTGTTATCCTACTTTATTGTTAGTGTGATCTGTTAGATCGGTATCCTGGTAGATAGGATGTTATATGTGGTTATGAACAGTTAGATTGGTATTCTAGTAGATAGGATGTTGCCATGCTTAGTGATCTATAGATCGGTTTGTCTGTCTATAGAATGTTATGTGATTCTCTGATATATGTGCCCATGATTGCTTGGTGGTTGAGGCTTATCTGCTTTGTGCAAGAGCCAACAGACCGGGGCATTCCAACTTGATGGTTGTGGGCCGATGGTATACCATCTCGAGGATGATTGGACCCATAGTATGTTGGCATTCCAACCCAATGGTTGATTGGGCCCATAGTATGTTGTTATTGTATGTGTGTTATTAGTTGTGCGGTTATTTTGGGGGAACTCACTAAGCTTCTGGCATACAATTGTTGATTTTCTTTAAAGGTACTTCAGACGATCGCGGGAAGGCGACGACATGATCGTGCACCTCCTTATGTTTTTATGATTTTATTTCTGGGATACTCTGACATGAAACTATTTTGAAAACAATTTGTAATAATTATTGGTTTTTGAATGTTTTAAAAAAGGTTTAAATTGCCATGATTTTTATGGATATTACAAGTTGGTATCAGAGCCTTGTTTTGAGTGAATTGGAGGAACACTCGTGTGAATCTAGTCTCAAACCAAGGAAAAGATTTTCAAATGGTTTCAAAATACTAAAGGAGGATGCAAGTGTATGATCAGCCGGAGCCAGTAAGTAGACCACAAAATACCTTACGGATTATTTGATTTTGTGACATGTTAGAAGAACATGCTAGTAATAGGCTAGGGATCTTCAGGAATTTCATGATAGATATGCTTGATTATATGATGCCTGAGTTCCTATAGGGTTATCTTGTTGAGATGATCTGTCACTCTTTCACGTGTGAACTGGCTATTGAGTGGATACCCTAAGTCACATACTGCATGGTTTAAAGGATATTAGGCTGAGAGGTTTTGGTCCTGCTGCGCAGCTCTCTTCTGAGTCCAACCGTTGTGGGATTGAATCTTTTTAGCCTAAGATTGTTTAAACTGGGGGGTATGTGATTGTATTCATGCGATAGTCATATGGCACCAATGGAGGGTCGTGTGGAAGTTGTGGTAGGATGAGTTGTGCGGGGTCCGCCCGCCAGTTACGAGATATTTAGCCTTCCTCTAGGAGTGAGGATTTAGCGCTCTCCATGCATATGTATATTGTTAGGGCGTTGTGATGATACTTGAGACAAATATGGGTAGGTGTGGAAGGTAGTATAGGCTCGTATTACTGAAAGCACAGCACCCATACGCGTAGCGAGAAAGTCACAACCCCTAGGGTTTTGTTGGGAGTTGGATCCCTGATTATTGTATGGATTGTCTGATATCTTCTTGGTATATTTTTAGCATGGTGGTTACGAGGCGATTTGTGACTGGATCCAGATCAGGATCAAGAGATGGCAGTCAGGGTGGAAAAGCAGTGCCCGAGGTCATCGGTCAGATGAGGTCGGATGAGTTAGACTCCAGGATTCGAGAGATCATGCATGATGAGGTTGCTACACTGTTCCGGGCACAACTGTCGGAGATGTTTGGGTCTATCAAGACCGCTATGGTGGAGTATTTCGATGAGCGTTATGCAGATCTTGCTGAGACGGCTGCCGCTGCAGCCTCCGCAGCTGTAGCAGCTGCTGGTAGTGGGACCAGTCGGGCTTTTCAGTACCAGGTGTTTGATAACACGAAGCCCCTGACTTTCGATGGGACTCAGGACCCGATCATAGCCATGAGGTGGCTATCTGACGTGGAAGGATGTTTCTTCACGTGCTCATGTCCTGCTGACCAGAAGGTCAGATGTGCTCTGAGGCTGCTAAGGTCCGGAGCAAAAGAGTGGTTGAGATTGATGACGGGGTCATATTCTGATGAGTAGTGAGCGACAGTTACTTGGGATCAGTTCAGGGAGATGTTCCGCGCTCACTACGTTCCATGGGTTGAGTGAGAGAAGCTGTCACATGATGTATTGGATCTGAGACAGGGTACGGAGACAGTGACGGAGATCACCTATATGTTCACTGAGAGGGCGATGTTTTGCCAAGAGTTTGCATCCGAGCAGGCTCAGATGACTCGTTATCTGAGCATGCTCAAGACTGACATCAGACAGTTCATTGCTACCCAACGACGTGACACACTACTGGAGTTACAGGAGGCCGCTAGGCGGCGTGAGCTTGAGATTGAGCTGCAGTTGAGAGAGGAGAGGCAAGCCCCGAAGCTATCGCATCCGTCGCCGAAGCGGTCCAAGACCGCTGATTCTAGGTCTGGAGGTCAGCACAGCCGCACTTGTGGGAAGTGCGGGAAGACTCATTCGAGGGTTTTTCGATCTGGTAGTGGGTGCCATAAGTGTGGCAAGCAGGGCCACATTGCTAGGGATTGTAGGCAGCATACTCCAGCTTCTGGGATCAAACTTTGTTATCATTGTGAGCAGGTGGGCCATATGAAGGCCTAGTGTACCCTATTAGCTATCAGGCCGGCGCATGCTCCATCTCCGGCTACACTGAGGATTACTGACGGGAGTCAGGATAGAGCAGGGCCCTAAGGGCTCAGGAACGCGCCTTCCAGCTTACAGCCGAGGAGGCCAGGTCAACATCAGATGTGGTTGCTGGTATGTTTCTATCCTTTATCTTATTGATTATATTTGTTTTCTGGTTATATGTGTTGTACCATGTTAGGTACATTCTTAGTGAACTCCTTACCTGCTTTGGTATTAATTGACTCCAGGGCGAGTCGGTTATTTGTCTCTCGGTCGTTCAGTAGGGAGTTCAGTTTGCCTGTAGGAGAGCTAGAGGTTCCGTTGCGAGTCTCCATCGCCAACGAATGTGACAACCCGAAATTTTTTGCCGTATAAGTCAATCCAATCAACCTTAAGTCAGACTCACTCCTGCTATCATTTAGCACTGTTTAGAGTCTGTTTGAGTGTTCTGAGCCCAATACATTCAAGGAATGAGTGTTAGGAAGTATCTGCTAGAGCCACTGTACAAAGATCACGCCATAAACTCATTCAAGAGGAGTTTACGGCCAAGACACCAAGAGTTTACGCCTGTAAACTCAAGGTGGCCGTAAACTCACCCCTATATAAGTAACACTTAGCCATTTCTCATTCTTTTCCTTCCTTGGCCGAAAACTCTTCAAATTCTCTCCAGTATCATCGATTTCTTCATCTAGATTTTCACATATGTAAGTGATTCCTTCCACCTATGTGTTAATACATCTCTTATTCTTGAATCTCCTTTGAATTCACCCATGAATTCCATCTTTTGGGTCTAGATCTTCAAGATCCTCAAGAACACCAAGAACACCCTAGTGTTTTTGGGCCGAAATCAACCCTTTCAAGCTCCAATATCATGAGTACTCCTTCCTTAACATGTTGTATGCTAGAAGTTCT